GAAGGTCACCATGGAAACCGCCTGCTGAGGCTTCGCCGCACTCGGCATCTCCTAATCAGCTACCATGTGAAATGCAAATTCAGACAGTCTGAAAATTAGTCAAGAAGAATAGAGGATGAGGATGCAGATATGTGAAATATTCATGCGCTTCATGGCAAAAGGAAGACAGCATGAATGACACAACAAAGGACGGCCTCTGACATTCGTGCTATCATTCTGCATTATTGTTCACACCCTACTGTATCTGCAGGCCCCCAGTTCTGAAGTTGGTTATGTGAACTGCCATATTTATAGTCTACAATAAATAGTAATTAAAAACGGCCCAGGTAAAATGACTAATTGGGAAACCCACAAAGAGGTATAATGCATAAATTACACAACAGAACACATTTTCATCCTTTGTAATGTCACTGAATTATCTTTTTAAGTCCAGGGTTCTTTCACAAAGGGGAAAAACTTGTCACTATAAATACAAAACAAAACAAAATACTGGGCAGTAATCTTTTATTAATAGTCAAATCACTGTCTTTAAATGTAAAAAATTTCAAAGTTCAGAATTACAACCACTGCTCTAAGTGAAATTGCACAACACTTCCTATTTATTAGAAGTATTTCAGTGCTCATGTTTATTTGTGTTTTCAAAGTAATATTTAATTCATGTAGGCTGAAATCAATTAGAATTGGTTACTAATGCGTGTTCTTTGGTTTCCAGCTTCTATCAGTTTGCCCTGTTCTTTTCAAAGTGGGGAAGTATTTCAAAACTGGCATCTCATAAATGCTTTCTTGTTAATGTTCTATGTTTTCATTGTTACTCACACTACGAAAAATATTGAATTTACTTAGTTTCTTTTCATATTATAGTTTAAAAAAGGCAAGTACCTCCCCTGAAATGCATTAATGACAGTACAGAACTGTTACCTAGCAGCTTAAAACAAACACTGCTGCTATCTGCGTGAGTATATTGTTCACATTCAATTATATTATGTCTGCCCCCATTTCTCTGAAATTTACTATTAGTGTTGTCAAGAACCACTCTTTCTTCCAAAAGAACTGTATCGAACAGCACATCGCAGGTTTATAATGCAGACAAATGGGAACCCAACAATTCATTTTCACTAGTGAGCTCCATTATATCTATTTTAATGTCAGCCCCTAGAGAAACAAGGCTAGCGCACTCATTCACTGTGCAACGTAAACTTGTGTAGTTGTGCTTTCAGAAAAGTATACTACGGCCATAAAACTCAATCCCATTCTGGCACGTAGGACATATCATTGCACATTCTGGGAAAGCATTATGTCATACTTGCAAGGAAGCTCAATGAAATGAAGCAGCTAACGGTATGAGGCTTCCAGCATTAATTCCCCAAAATTTAAAATTATACCAGACACTTGTTTTGACAGGAACCTTTAAGCAAGTTCAACAAGCAAACACTTACGGCATAATCTGCAAATAAGGTGGAATCGCCCACGTTCATTTACTTCCCTGGAAGTGTGCCAGCTTACAGAAACCAAGGATCTAGCCCATGAAAAGGAAAATTACTTACTTCCTCTGAATAGTGATCTGAAGGGAGAGGTGGGTAGTCACACTGTTCTATCTTCTTGCACAGGGAATACAAGTTCATTTTATCACCATAAAACGGACTCTGGAGTGCAGCCATCTATTTAAAGAAAATGTACAGTTTTCTTTTGTGTTTTTAAGAAAACCTGTTTTGTCATAAAATCCGTAACACTAACAAATCACAAGTGATTTTCAATGACTCCCTGCTTAGAAGTCTCACAGCGCTAAAAACAGAAGTTCCAAAACTATCACTGTAATCAGTGTGTGTACTTATTCTGTCATACAGTCGTACCTATCACAATCCTTATATTGCAATCTTTGAATTGTGTATCATAACAGTTTTATTAATAGCATATGAGGAGAAACTGAGTAGTTTCCAATACTGTTGTGAGGGTGGAGGGCCCCTGCACCATGAGAGAGACAAAAAAAACCCCAAACCCACAATGTAATTTTCCTTTTTTGGAAAAATCTATATAATTTGAAAACACATCTAAACTCATCTAAAGCAATACCGTGGGGTGAAAATGCTAGATAACAGTAGTAGGTTTTGTAATCTTCCACAGCTATTACTAGACTTCGAGAAAATTTTTTTTTAAAGCAAGAAAACTGAAGGTAACGTCTATACTTCCAAAAAACCCCAAAACTTCATAATTCAGTATCTTATTTGAAAATACTTTAAAAAAAAAAAATCCCAAAACCTCATCAGAAGTGCAGAACTGGCACCCATGCCTATAATTTACAACTGTAATACAAAAATATCTGTTGGAGAGCACTGAAATAAACGATCAGTTTAAGACCAGCATTAATAAACCTACACTTTATTTCCAGACAACGTTACAACTTGACATTTAAGGTGGAAACAAATGCTCTGGTTAGCAGGATTACAAATTTAAAAATTCATTTCAAATCTCTCCATTCTGTTCCAAGCCGCCCAAGTCTTTGAACCGCAGCAGCACGAATGCTGCTTTGAGTGTAGCGCTGCCCCAAAGTCAGTCACCCTTTTCTACATGTGCTAATAAGTTTGATTTTGGAAGGACAATGTGTACATTCCCCAGACAGGCAGAGTGTGTGTGAAACACGCTAGTCCATGCTGTGCTACTCAGTGAGCTTCAGCAGGGACAGGACAAGCTGAAAATGGCTCTCATCTGTCTTGTGGTCTTGCAGATCGCAGTTTAACTCTTTCATGGCTAAGCACTGATATCGCTGTGAGAAAATGTATAAAGAAAATTACCAAAATTCTCTTACACTTACTTCCTATCTGACAAAAATGCTCTCAAATAGTTCAGTATTTTTTCATATTACATTCAGGTAAGAATAAAGATTTTTTTAAAGCTCCTGAAACAAATACCATACTACAGTTCCATCCTACACTCCTCCCAAAAATTCTGCATTACCAAAATAATGTTAATTTTTGGATTTACATGACATTGTCTCTTACCTTAAAAAGAACGTTAAAAATGCAAGCTAAAGACCAAAAAAGAAAGGAAGGGGAAAAAAAAAAAAGAAAAATGAACTGCAGGATCTGTACATATGCAGAAATTCTAAATAAATGCACAGATACTCATTTTCCTACTCTAGGTGTTCATTAAAAAGTATTTTTGTTTGAATGCTGCAGAGTGTTAAAAAAATCTGAACGTCCCCTAAGGAGTTAAAACAGGAATACTATATTTTCATGCATCTCCTGCTTTGACAGATGAAAAATGTCAACTGTCCTGTTTTTATTTTCAAGCTTTTGCACTATTCATCTGGTTCATTAGTGCATCTCGCTGCTGCCCCTGACAGCTGCTCGCCCTCTCCTCCCAGCAGCTGAATTTTTCAGGCTAATTTGATCCTCCACACTGAGACGATCGCTAGAATGATTGACTTGCTCCCTGACCTCCAGGGTCTGACTTTCCTGATTAGTATTCTGGGGGTGTCTGAGGGACGAAAGCCCACTGTCTGTCTTCAGGGCTGGTGGCAGCTCTCGCTCTCTCTTTTTTTTTTTTTCTTTTTTTTTTGTTTGAACTGTAAGCCACCAACCTACAACCCTGTAAGGATGCAATTGCTACGCTGAACAATAAAAGGAAATGTGTAAAACCTACTTTTCCATGTAAAGGTCCATGTAGCAAAAGCACAGCATCTTGATTTTAATTAGTAAAGTCTACTTTGTTGCATATCAATTAAAACTCCAGTGGTAGTGTTCTTGAGGTTTCAGAAATACCTAGGGCTCTAAAAAAATCAGACTTCAAAATATACTTTAAAAAAAAAATCTTACTGGCCACATAGTTAGCACTGAATAATAGACTGTAATATAGGTTAGAAGTAATAATTTTTAAAAACAACATACATTATAGCAAATTAGTCTAAACTTGAATTAAAACAGAAATGAAAAGTTTGGCAGCAATTAAGCATTTATTGAGAAGTGATAAACATGCCACAGCTTTTCTCCAATTAAGCCAGAGAGAATCCAGAGCACACATCAACGTGAAATCAATATAATAAAACATGCTAAAATGCAGGCAAATTGACATATCGCAAAAAGATACCCCGTGCAAAACTGCACGGATAATCAAAATACCATGCATTAGTCCATGCGTATCTTGAAGATCCTTAAGTAATCAACGAAAATTTAAAAAAAAAGAGAAATGCTAAGCATGTATTTTGAGTTTACTATACCTAAAATTTCAAAATTACATCTCAATGATCAACAACAACAACAAAAAAATCACCACAAACATCTGGTATGTTGTAGAACTAAGTAAATGGAATAAAGGCACCTCTAAAAAAATTAAAAGCTGTAGTTGAAGACACTGACATATAACATAGCTATATGTCAACAACAAGTATCCTAATAATTGCTTTACTCTTACAATAAGGAAAAAAATTAACACCATATCACAACTTAAATACCATCCTGGTAAAACTTGTAAAATATATAAAAAGAGAATGGTATTTAAAGATGCTGAATTAGTCAATGGAATTTAGATATTTAGCTATTTTGAAATTATTTACCAGATCAAAGAAAAATTTAATATTCACATCGGTGGTCAATATACTGTACCAGCATCAAAGCAGCAAGCTTAAAAAAAAATCTTCTTTAGAAAAGTGCTATTGATTTCTATCCAGCAATTTTCTTTCATATAAAATTGAAGAAAAACTCACCTCAAAACATTTTTATATAATAGTTATTCAAGGGTTTTATTTGTTTGTTTCCAATGAGGGGAAAAGAAACAGTAGTACTGAAAAATCCTCATCTACCTTTATGTTATTTTCAGGCTCCTGTTTGCACAATTGTGTAAAGCAGACCACTGAAGCTGATGGCAGGTGCCAGTACTAAGGAGTCCCAATATGGGATGGATGAAGTTTCAGTTCAGGATTTAAACTTCTAAATCAGGTATGGGACTTCATTCATGTGAATCGTCCCAAAGATTTAGAAGCAAATGCTATAAGCAGAACAGTAACCTGCAGAACCACAATAGAGCTATTAGCCCTTTTCATATTTAAAGCAACATGTGAGTGATAGAAAGTAAACTAGTATTACTGGAGACAATTCACCTAGTAGTACCATAAAACAGGCTGACAATGTATTCTACAAACTCCTAAAATAA